TCACAGTGACTTACTTTTCATATATATGTTTTAAGGCCCCAAGATGCACCAACTTACAAGATTTGGTGATTCTTAACCTCTCAGTGTCTGAAATAATGGGATTAAATGTTTTAGATAAGATTAGCCATAAAATTCAAACAGTAGGTAACAGTGACCTACTTTTAAGCAGATGTTTTTTTAGGACCCAAGATGCATCAACTGATAAAGTGTGAGGATCATAGGCCTTAAAGTGTTCAAAATATGCCTCAAAATCAATTTGAAAACAAAAGCCTGTAAAATTTAAAAAGCAGGTCACTGTGACCTACTTTTGTGTTAACATGATGTGATTTGCATAAGTTTTAAGGTGCATCAACTTACAAAATTTGATGATTTTAGTAAGCAAAATAACAATGTTTTTATTATGTGTAAATTTTGATCAACTTTGAAATGAGTTTAAGACCACGCCTTTTACCCCAGGGTCATGCTGTGAACAATTTTTTATCTTCAACATATCCTGACCCTTGTATGTAAGTTTGGTAAAACTCTGCCTGGTGGTTCTGGAGAAGAAGATTTTTTAGCAACCAGTACTTTTGGGTTTTATTTCCTGATTATCTCCCCTTGTTTTAAGGTCCCATCCCTAGTTTTAGTATAAATAATAGCCCTTGGGCCAAGGATACACCATGACAAATTTGACAATCATGAGCCAAGGGGTTCTTGAGTTATGGCCCATATTCTAAAAAATTTACTGCACACGGCACGACACACAAATGGCCAAAGCATTAGCTCTTTGAGCCTTTGGCTCAGAAAAGCTTACAAGAGACCCATGGGCCACATCACTCCCCAGAGTAACTTTGGTGATGCAGCTCTTTACCAGATTTCCCCTCTTCTTATATCTATTGTGGCCCCTTACCCCCTCCCCCACCACCCCACCCCATCTTGATTTTAATAATTTGGAATCAACACCACCCCAGGATGCTTCCACCTAAGTTTCATCTTTCCTGGCCCACTGGTTCTTGAGAAGATTTTTAATTATTTTTCCTATATATTTCTTTGTAAAACTTGAATTTCCTAGTGTAGCCCCACCCTACCCCCTGGGTCATGATTTTTAAAATTTAGATTCTTCACTACCCCAGGATGCTTCCACATTAGTTTCAGCTTTTCTGGCCCACGGGTTCTTGAGAAGGAGTTTTATTTTTAAAGAGATTTTTCCCATAAATTTCTATGTACAACTTGGATTTTCTATTGTGGCTCCGCCCTACCCCCAGGGTCATGATTTTAACAATTTAGAATCTACTCTAGGCAATATAGATATAGGTATCTCTTATAATAGAAGATACTTCCACATAAGTTTTAGCTTTTCTGGCCAAGTGGTTCCTTAGAAGAAGATTTTTTAATGACCCCACCCTATTTTTGTCTTTTCTCGATTATCTCCCCTTGGAAGAGGACATGGCCCTTTATTTTAATAATTTAAACTACCCATCTCCCTTCGGTTCAGGTGAGCTAAAAATATGAATGATAATTATGTTTTTTTTACTTTGGTTAACATTGACTAAGATGTTCTGGAGATGTCTAAATTTTTAAAAAATTATGCACTTTTACAAAAAAAATCAGGCAAAGTCATATGAGCAATTAATATCAATAAAACACTGACCCTGTGTATCCACCCCCTTTCTCCCAGCTCGACCAATCATCTGCTTGTAAGTCAGGAAGTCTATGGTTTTCCCATGGAAGATTGGGGTCCTGATGATAACACGGCGGGCAGGAAGATTGACCCCGGAGGACAGGGTGGAGGTAGCTACCAGGACCTTAACTGACCCATGTCTGAAGGCCCCTTCTAATATGTCTCTCTCATCAAAGGTCAAACCTGCAAGATCAAACGTCAAATCTGCAAGACCAAAGGTCAAAACTGCAAGATCAAAGGTCAAACCTGCAAGATCAAATCAAACCTGCACAATTAACATTACTGAAAATGTTGGATTATTACTGATGCTGTGCTGTCCTTGCTGATTAATACTGATATTTACCGATATCATTGTGGTTGTTGCTGATAATTTTAGCTGTTACTGATAAATACTGATAATTACTGAAGTTTACTTTAATGTTGAGTTTGATAGATACAATAACCAAAATTGGCAAATATTTGCCCATTCTTTCACTTCTTGATAAAAAAAAACCCATCAACTGTCAATCACATTACCTGCATGGTGATATGCCACCCCATATGGCACAGTCTTCCCCAGGGTAGAGTCTAACCCCACAGGAGTCCTCCTCAGTTGTTCTACGACCTCCATCAGGGAGGGTCTGTTCAGGGGTAAAGGGGAGGAACAGTCTGTCTCAGGACCTGACAATGTATAGAATTCATCACAGAATATTTACATTTCCAATGTCTTTGACCGAGATAACATTACCAAATGTAAATGTACTTTATTTCCCCATCAATGTATTGGCGCGGTTCCAAAAAAACCACGTGCAGGGTGGGACAAACAGCTAGACAGAAGCAGGGCTTGGAGCACGTGGATTGGAGGAATTAAAGCATGTAAATATAAGGAATAACTGTCAGATTTTTCAATTTCATGAAGATGATCAATCGATTGGCTTGCGTGATAATTTGCATTTCACTTCATGAAATCGAAAAAGAAGACAGTTATTCCTTAAGTTAAGTATGATTTATCACAGAGTAAAGATGAATTAATCAGAGTAAAGCATAAATTACAAAGTAAACCAAAATTTATCAAACACTGAACCTTGATAACATATAGATAGTACCTCTGTTCCATTACCGTAAATCTGGAAATTTTTACGTCGATTTATTTTTGCGAATTAGGGTCAAAAAGCTGTTGAATAATTTTTACACTTCAAATTTTTGCGAATTGTCACGGGTGCTAAAAATAAAAATTACTGAAGATTTTCATATCAGGTTATGTTTCAAATAATATGCCCTGTTAGAATACCACCAATATACTCATATCGTGGCAAGATATTGCAAAATCGCTCCGAAACAATTTTGATAAAAATACAAAAGGATTTGCACTGAAAATAATTTCTAAGTCAATTATAACAAACATTTTAGAGGTTATGTATGCCTTTTAACCTAAAGTATAATCCAAATGAAGAAAAAAAATAACTAATTTTTCTCAACATTTGGTTTTTCTCACCTAAAATTTACACGCTGCGTTTACATTTGGAACTTTCTAGTAAATGCACTGAGTTTGAGTTATCGCCCGTGTTGATACACGGTTAGATAAAATGACAGTTCTCTCTTTATTGGCAAATTAATTGATTAAAATAATTAAAAAGGGGCATACCGCCTCAGTGCTTGTCAAATCATCGGACGATATTGCATATAATGAGAGCACGGGTAATTAACTTGTAGCTATAGTAGACTAGAGTAAACAGGTTTATTTTAAAAATGACAGGTGCTTACCGACACCTATTCACTGAGTTAAAAAAAGACACGAGTTCTCAGAAAAAAATTTTTTCGCATGTTGAATTATTTTTAAGAAAAATATTTTTGCGAATTCAATGCCCGCGCAAATTTGCTAAAAATTTAGCTACAGTAAAAATTTCCAGATTTACGGTATAGAGACAGTCTAGGACACATACATTGTACATACCACTTAGGAAAACATGCTTTTCTTTTCATCCTCACCTTTCTTCAGAATGTTGTAAAACTCCCTGGCAATCGTCTCTGCCAACTTCTCACACCAGTTTTTAGTTGGACAGAAAATAAGCACTGAGTGTCCCCCAGCCAATGTTTCTAAACACAGCGGAATCACATGATCTGTATCCCCCTTAGATATACTATCTTTAAAGATGTCAACTATCATTTGCCAGAGGAAAAAAGTTTTTATTATTTGATCATTTTTATATATATTTCTATGGAGCTCTTCTTCTAAATGAGATCAACATAGTCTGAAAATGGCAACAACCACCCAGCCCACTAAACATGAGTTGAACTTTCCGTATCTGAAACACCTATATATATCTTGTTGATGCTGTATGACAACAGACCTAGCTTGTTGAGGCTGTTTTCCTCCATCAGTCGGTTTATCAGTCCGTTTCCTTTCTCTATGGTACACACCGCTATGTCCACCTGACTGAGCCCCCCAGGAGGGGAGTAACTCCCCATAAACCCGCTCACCACCACCCTAACATCCTGGAACAACTGCTGTAAACCAACAATAAAAAGATTTAGAGTAACTCCCAATAAATCCGCTCACTACCACCCCTACATCCTGGTACAACTGCTAAAAACAAAAAATGAAAAGATTAAGTAGAGAATTCTAAGGATAGAGACCTACATATACATAGAGCAATTACTATAAATTTGTACTTAAAGCGAGCGCAAAAAAAGTAGACTAAATTAGATTAACGTGTAAGAACAGAGGAAATTGGAATGAAATCTGTATAACGTCAGCCAAATTTTCCTGCGCAACATTCCCAGAATTCCCTCACACCAAATGTTCCATCCGTATTTATTTAAAAACATACAAAAGACCAAGAATAAATATTCTTTCCCAAGATACGTTTACTTTTCTTAATTTGCACAAAGCTTAAAAGTAACAAAAAATATTTTCATCTACAACGTATTTCATTTAATACTGAACAAGACTTGTCGTCTATTTTAACCAGATGCTCCGCTGTCACCGTAAATTCTGACATCATCTGACGTCACAGTCTAAAATGTCACTTATGTGTCTAGTGAAGTTTGAGGTTCAACGATTCAAAGCTGTGTATAGGACTGCGCTCGCCCCAATGGTTGCATCGTAAAACATATTATGCAATGAATTTTTTACAGTAAAAATTTTGTGAGAAGCGCCATTAGCATGATTAGCAAAATAAAAGTAGTCAATTTAATTTTTTGGTTGATTAAATCCAAGTAAAATGTCTTGATCAGCAGTCTTCTCAGAAATTAATTTTTCTCACGATTTGACTTCTAATAGCCATTTTAGGATAATAAGTACTGGCAAAAAATAAGGAATCTACAGTATAACCTACTTGTAAAAAAAAAAAAAAAAACAAGAGACCCAAGGGCCTTGAATCGCTCTTCTGATAAATTGTACAACCTATCACTTGTATTTGAAGCCTCTAACCCTAAGTATCCTATTAAAGACCCAAGTTGCATCACCTGACAAAGTTTGATGATTCTTGGCCAATTAGGACTAGTTTTTGGTCTACATTCTTGGAAAACCCAAGATGCATCAACTGACAAAGTATGATGATTCTAAACTGATAAGTACTAGAAAGATACATAAATATAGCCATAAAATGTCAAAAGTAGGTCACTGTGACCTAGCTGCAGATCTGTAGCGTTATGGTTTTTTAAGACTACTATAAAAAAAAAACCATAACGCTACAGATCTGCAGCTAACTGTGACCTACTTTTTGGTCGACAGTCTCGGGAAACCCAAAATGCATCAACTGACAAAGTTTGATGATTCTAAGCCAATAAAGTACCGGAGATACTAAAATATAGCCATAAAATGTCGAAAGTAGGTCATCGTGACCTTAATTTTGGTTGACATTATTTAGAGTCCCAAGATGCATCTGCTGACCAAGTTTGGTAATTCTAAGCCAATAAATACCTGAGATATTCAAAAGAAGGTCACTGTGACCTACTTTTTGATAGACATTCTCCGAAAACTAGTGTTGGCAAATTGGACGATTTTTAGTAACCGGTTACTAGCTTCATCTTCCGATCGAGTACCCAGTTACTCGGATGATTTTTGGTAAAAGTATCTATTATTTATCTTATTCTTTACTTATCGGTAGTAGTAATGCGCAAATATACTGTATAGGGACAATATATTTACAATACACACATACGATATCGTCAAAGATTTTCGATTTTAAAATGAAGAAAATAATTAGGGAATTCGACACACAAAGACAAAAAAAATACGTCAGCGTCAATCACCATTTTTTACTTTCTTTTTCAGCCCCCGAAATATGTCGCAATCAAGGAGAATAATTATTTACATATTCCATAATTAATAATTAATATGTGGAGTGTCCAGTAAATCGCTGGTTTTCGAATAATTTAAGCTTAGGTGATTTAACAGATTTTGAATCAGCTGTTCTTTTGTTACAACTCTAAACTTATTATGTCTGCGGCGGCATCTCTCTAAATTATCAAATGAGGTTATTATAACTCAGGCCTTCAAAATATGTATACCCCAGGCAATCAAAGCTATTAATTATATAAACTGTGAAAACTAATCAAAACAATTTGATTCGATACAACCATGCACTAGATCAAATCTAACGGTACCTAAAATTAGGGAAATGTGAAAGTTAGTATACATTTATCAATTATAAAACATTCATTTTCTATGCTTTTACTATGTATAATTTATTTCATCCGAGTAACCGAATAGCAGTTTTACTAACCGATACTCTCAACGTCGACGGTTAACCGGGTACTCGTTGCCAACACTACCGAAAACCCAAGATGCATAAGTATGATGATTCTAAACTGATAAGTACTAGAGATACATAAATATAGCCATAAAATGTCAAAAGTAGGTCACTGTGACCTACTTTTTGGTTGACATTCTCCGAAAACCCAAGATGCATCAACTGACAAAGTATGATGATTCTAAACCAATAAGTACTAGAGATACATAAATATAGCCATAAAATGTCAAAAGTAGGTCACTGTGACCTACTTTTTGGTCAACATTCTTCAAAAACCCAAGAAGCATCAACTGATTAAGTTTGATGATTCAAAGCCAATAAGTACTGGAGATACTTAAATATATCCATAAAATGTCGAATGTAGGTCACATTGACCTAATTTTTGGTCGTCACTCTTTGAAAACCGTAGATGTATCAACTCACAAAGTTTGATGATTCTAAGCCAATAAATACCTAAGATAATTAAATATAGCCATAAAATGTCGAAAGTAGGTCAAAGTGACCTACTTTTTGGTCAACATTTTTCAGAGTCCCAAGATGCATCTCCTGACCAAGTTTGATGATTGTAGGTCTGAAGGTAATCAAATTATTCCTTTTAAACAATTTGAAAACAAATGCCTGCAAAATTCTAAAAGTAGTTCACAGTGACCTACTTTTTCTTTAAAATGTTTTAAGGTCTCAAGATGCAGCAACTTAAAAGATTTGATGATTCTAACCCTTTCAGTGCCTGAAATAATGGGATTAAATGTTTTAAAAAGGATAAGTCATAAAGTTCAAAAGGTAGGTCATGGTGACCTACTTTTAAGTTGACTTTGCTCAAGGACCCAGGATGCATCAACTGACTAAGTTTGATGATCATAGGCCTTAAGGTGTCCAAAATATGCCTTCAAATCAATTTGAAAACAAATGCCTGCAAAATTAAAAAAGTAGGTCACCGTGACCTACTTTTGAATTAACATGATGTGAAGTCCAAAGATGCATCAACTTACAAGATTTGATGATCCTAGTCCTTATAGTAAGCAAAATATAGACATTTTTATTAATTGTAAATTTAGGTCAACTTTAAAGTGACCTTGAGACCACGCCCTTTGCCCCAGGGTCATGCCTTGAACAATTTTTAATCTTCAACATATTCTGACCCTTGTAAGTAAGTTTGGTGAAAATCTGCCCGGTGGTTCTGGAGGAGAAGATTTTTTAGCAACCAGTACTTTTGGTTTCATTTTCCTGATTGTTGCGAACTGTCGCAATTATAACTGTTTTCTAGAAATTTAATGATGTACATGTATAATCTAGAATTTTCTATATGATTCATGAATGAGTTTTCAAGAAGTTTCTAGAATATGTCAGAATGTGATGACCTAGAATTTTATAGAAGTTTCTATTCTAGATGTTTCTTTAATACTATATATATGAGTTTTTGGGATCTTAAATTACGATTGAGTTTATCGATTTTGTATTGATTTTACATTGAAGAAATATTGAAAACAAATCAGAAACCATCTGATTATCTTAGCCAATGTGGTATTGAGATTGTTAACCCTTGTGGATTTGTTATTGCCTTTAATCGTCATAATAAATTATAAAAAGAAGATTTCCGTGTGATTGTGATTCGCCACACTGATTATCTCCCCTTGATTTGGGGTCCCAACCCTTATTTTAGTATAAATGGTAGCCCTTGGGCGAAGGATACCCTGTGACAAATTTGACACTGATTGGCCAAGGGGTTCTTGAGTTATGGCCCATATTCTAACAAGAGGCCCACGGGCCTTATAGGTCACCTGAGCATTATGCAACAACTTTCAAGTTATTGAATTTGATTCAGATGCTATATGGCATTCACAATTTTGAAAGAGGGACCATTGATCATCATAACAATACACTTAGCAGTTGCTTAGCTTGGTTACTGAATACCCATATGCAGGGTAGGGGAACAATATTGCATTTTCTAACTAATCAGTAATATTCAGCAATAATCAGTAGTGCCCCTAACACTGTGACATAAACCCCTGACCCTAGGTCCACACATTGCACAAATTTTAAAAAGGCACCCTTAAAATCACCTATCAAAAAATAAATAAATGATTTATAAATATAAAGGAGCAGATTTCAAACATTTAATTCATTTTCAGTATATAAGTAGAGCCCCCCCACCCCTGACCCTGGGGCCTTGAATTCACAATTCTGCAAGATTTGGGCCCTTGCTCATTATAACTATTTAAGTATTTAATCTGCTTTATACCCAGAGACAGAGAAGAAAATTTTCATAGATTTAATGTATTTTCACTATATAATCAATAGAGTCCCGCCCTAACACCAGAGCCCCTGACCCTTGGGCCATAACATTCATAATTTTAGAAGAGGCACTCTTGCTCATCATAACTATGCACTTAGTTAATTTATTTAATACCCAGGAGCAGTGAACAGATTTTCAAAGAATTCATGCATTTTCACTTACGGGTATAATATAATCAATTGACCCTGGGGCCATAAAATGCACAATTTTGGTAGAGGCACTCTTGCTCATCATAACTATGCACTTAGTTAGTTTATTTGATACCTAGGAGCAGAATAGAAGATTTTGAAAGAAGTCATGTATTGTCATTATATAATCAACATGATCAATAGAGCATTCCCCCCCCAACACCAGAACCCTTGACCCTGGGGCTATAAAATTCACAATTTTGGTAAAAGCACTCTTGCTCATCATAACTATGCACTTAGTTAGTTTATTTAATACAAAGGGGCAGAGAAGAAGATTTTCAAAGAAATCATGTATTTTCACTATATAATCAATAGAGCCCCCTCCTTAAACCAGAACCCCTGACCCTGGGGTCATAAAATTCCCAATTTTGGTAGAGGTACTCTTGCTCATCATGGCTATGCACTTAGTTGGTTTATTTAATACCCAGGAGCAGAGAAGAAGATTTTAAAATAAATAATGCATTTTCACTATATACTTATTTAGCCCTGCCATATCTCTAGAACCCCTGACCCCAGGGCCATGAATTTCACAGTTTTGGTAGAGGACTCAATACTGATTACAATCATGCAAACAGTTTGACTGCTTGATGTCCAGGAGTAAAGAAGAAGATTTTTAAAGATTGCATTAATTTTAGTGATTTTGGCCCCACCCCTCAGGCCCCAGGGGGGCAGGGATCATGAAATTCAAAATTTTTGTTCCCCTTTACCCAAAGATGCTTTGTGTGAAATTTGGTTAAAATTGGTTCAGTGGTTTCAGAGAAGAAGCTTAAAATGTTCAATTGTTAACACACAACGGACGATGACGAACGAAAACGGATAGCAATAGGTCACCTGAGTTTACTCAGGTGACCTAAAAAGTTAATGCACACCGCACAAATGGCCATAGCATTAGCTCTTTGAGCCTTTGGCTCAGAAGAGTTAAAAAGCAGCTGACCTAGTTACCTGTCAATATGAATGTCAGGAACAACTTACCTGTAAATAGAACATCTTCTCTCTGGCCACAGACACAAAAGGTAAGATAAAGATGGCTTTTTTCTTTGTCTCTAGGACTCGCTTCAGGACCAGGAGCTCAGCCACCATTGTTTTACCAGCACTAGTGGGGGCTGAGTATACCAGGTTACCTCCCCCTAGAATTATATGGAAATAAAAAGATAGATAACTCTGCAGAATAACAATGGGGGGCCAAGTATACCAGGTTACCTCCCCCTAGAATTACACAGAAATAAATAACAAAGATAAATAACTTTCAGGGGTAGAAACTCCCTAAAATTATGACTCTCAAATTACAAAGATAGATAACTCTGAAGAATTACAGTGGGGGCTGAGTAAACAAGGTTACCTCCCCCTAGAATTACATAGATATAAAAAAGATAACTTCACAGAATAACAGTGGGAGCTGAGTATACCAGGTTACCTCCCCCATAATTACACAGAAATAACAAAGATAGATAACTCTGCTGAATAACAGTGGGGGCTAAGTATACCAGGGTACCTACCCCTAGAATAATACACAAATTAATGTTGATACAAATAACATTAATAATAAAGATAAATAACTCTGCAGAACAATTGTTGGGTGGGGGGGGTGGAGGGGCTGAGTATACAAGGTTACCTCCCCCATAGATAAACACAAAACAATGACAATACAATCAAGAAAGATAATTCTGCTGAGTAATTATATCTGATCATGAAAAAGAGGACATGGAAGATGATGCTCACTAGATACCATGGCACCTGATCCCAACACTGATGTTTTAGAGGTCAGTGTTTGCTCTGATTCTCCTAAGTGGACTTTTGAGGTTGGATTTTGTTTGTTATCTCAATAGTTCTTTTTAATAAATTCATAAAATTTTATGAATGAAATTTTCATGCATGTGATAAAAACTATTATTATATAGTCTATTTATAGTCCCTGTATAATCTATACAAACGCAAACAGTTCATAACACTACATATTCACCGGATTTTAGGCCGTATTCACTGGAGGGTCAATGCGCGTGCAATGGCATTGTGACGTCACAATCAAAATATCAAACAACGTTGTAAACGATGGTTGCAACGGCCGCAGCGAGCTACGTATCTGTGCAGAAAAACAATTAATCAAACCTTTATCAGGATTATTTTTTAACATCTGAACGTCTTACACATAGCAAAACCTGGAAAGGAAAACACGGAGGCTACAAACAGTAATCTGGAGATTTTTTTTATTTTCAACAATGGAAGATCGCAAATGAAAATGGTGTCGTCATACAACCTTCAATGTCTTATCTATTCAAATCACGACTATATAATAAAACAATTATGGACTTCACCTCGGTCAATATGAATATTTTTCTGGTGAATAACAAACCATATTCAACACCAAAAGAGTCCATAATTGTATAATATTTTATATACTAGTATTCTTCAAGACATTTTTAAAAAAAAATAATGTTGCCACTATAAATCATCATTGATTGGGAACGCAGAAACAAATTTTTTTTTACGCCTAACTTTCTAGATTATACAAAAAATGTTAGTGGTTTTTGACAAAGATGTAGAACTCTGCAGATAAATATTTGTTGGTCATTAAAACACAATGTACAGGTAACTCTGATGAGTAAATATCCTAATTCATTACAATCTCACTCACCTAGAACCCCGGGTAAACACAGACATTCTGCTTGCCAGGAAAACATTGAGGTGATCCCCTTATCTGTGTACTGTTTTAACACAGGCTCAGGAAGTCCCCAGTTACTTAATAACAGCTTGTCTTCTGTCAAACCCCAATCTGTATAAAAGAAATGTAGATGTTGAACATATATACAGACCTACCTAGTAATTTATATTTGTAATGTATACATAATCTGTTTTTGTTTCACTTATATAAACATCAAATATTTAGTTTCTAACATGTCTAATGTCTACATGATATTCTCTATTTCTTTCATTCACACCAGAGACACCAACTGTCATTCTATGTTTTCGTATTTAGAGCTTAATACTATATGCATGAAAATTTTTGCCCTGTTTTATATTCATCCCATTCATACAAACAGGTGGGTGAATTTAAAACGGGGTGAATTCATAGAACACTAGCAAAATTTCTTAGTGACAATAGAAATGCGACTGGGCAATAATAAAATGGGTCGGGGTGAAATTGGTTGCAAGTGTGAAAGTGCAAAAATAATCATATATCGATTTCTCTTTTTTGCCTTAAAAATGTTCTTGTTTAAACAACCATCAACTCTTGGCTCACACACATTGTCTCAGATTTTGAATAAGGCCTAAAAAAAATATGTTTGTTTCCTGTAACCCGACCGACCCATTCAAAGAAGAAGGTATTGTTTTAGCTTTATTGCGCCCTAAAAATGTAATGACATCAAAAACTTTTGAAACTGGCTTAAATATTAGTTAAATAAATGACTCTGATAAATCAGGAAAGAATATGTCATGAAGGTCTACCATTCTGCAAATATGACGTCATTAATGTGAAGCATTTCTCTATTTTCAACGGAAAAATCCTCAGAATGGCACATTTCAAGGGTGATTTTCCTTTAGAAAACAGTGTCCATAGCCGTCGCCCACGTTAATTTTTTGATATTTTGTGCAAAATTCAATAACAAATCACATATCTCAAGATCTTTGTGGGCGATGCCTATGGATAATGTTATCTGAAAGAAAATTCCATTGAAAATTGGTGTCTTCTGCAACTTTTTAAGAAAATACAGGAAAATGCACATGTTTATGACGTCATATTTAGCATTTAAAAACACATATAAGAAAAATGACTTGTATGATTTTTCTGTATTGAATTTCAATTATTTAAAAAGCATTAGTTTTCAACTTTTACTCCAGTTTCATTTTTTAGACAATCACAGGGCAAAATGTGTATGGAAACCATACCTTCTTCTTACCCACGAGTGGATTTTTTTTTTTCTGACAAATGGCAAAACTTCGTTTGATCAATATGCTGATTCCATTTAAAAAAAAAATTAGCTTGTAGCTTAACTTGAGACATAAAATATGTCAACCTAGTTTAAATTTACCTTAGTTTTAAAGAGTAATCATTATTGTAACAACAATTTTCTGAAGTTCGTTTTCTCAGAGACATATAAGAGTCTCTTATATGTCTCTGGTTTTCTGCCGCTTGGCAGCCATTTTGGATGCCATGTTGGGTGTCCACTGTAAATATGACACCTGGTATATTCAGTCCGGGGATGTTTGACCATTCATAAGCAAAAAAAAACAAAAAAGAAAAAAAAAGAATTCCCGACCTACCGACCTTGAATTTATTTGGAATGTTACAGCTGGACACAAACATATTTTTTTTAGGCCTAAATCATTACACTCACCAAATTCTATCATCTCCTGATTTTCAGCCACCCTTTCCTGTGTTTCAGAACTCACATCACCGATATTTTCATCTGCCCTTGACCTTTGACCTTTCAGATCAAGGTCGATCACATTATTTTCTTCCTCTAAACCCCCTTCACCTTCCTTTACTTTGTCGATGACAATTTCATTTAACACATTCCTTGGTTTCTTTCTGTTGGACTTTCCCCCTCTACTGAGTCTAACAGAGCTATCTGCTGTGGCGGGGGTCAGGTTTTCCTCCCCTTTCTTTGTACTGGAGGATTTGTTCTGGGACGGGAAGGGGGAGAGGAAGCTGTCATTTAGGGGACTCTGGAGGGTGAACAGGGACTTCATCAGCTGGGACTGTCGTCTTGGTAACGGGGTCACACATCCTGGTGTTGAAGTCAGGCCAGCTCTGATCTTATTGGCTAAAATGTGAGGACAACACAGAATAAACCAAACAGTAATGAATGATAATTTCCCATAAATATCTTCAAACAGGGATTTTTGTTTGTTGTCATTGTGTATATCTTGTGTACCTTGTATGAAAATCGCACCGACCTTTGAAATAACATACAGGCTTTTGATGCCTACCGCATATGCCAACGTGATAAAGAAGCAATCAAAGCGTTCTTTTTTAATTTATAAGAATATTCCATAAATATATTGTAGAATGTAGGCGTACTTTTTTCCACTGGGTCATAATTCCGCAGAACCTCAATTTCTGTTTAATCTGCGAGTAGAAAGAATTTATGCAGATTTCCTAGACTGTCACTACATGTATATGCTTTACATTGATATCAAGTGCGCTTGGACAAATTTCTGCAGAAAATTTGTGACCGCGTACATAGGATAAACTAATACCACCAGGATAAAGTACTTCTACAGTAATAAATCTATCAAATAATTAAATAAATGATTAAAAAATCATGCCTATATATAACAATTTTAATTTTAAAAGGGGAATTTAATTTCCCAACTTCAATGGATAATTCTAATTTCAGTGTCAAAATATGAGTTAACGTTTACATTTATTACTCCATAATTAACAAAATAACTGACCTGCGTTTGAAGCTAGTATCATGGATTTAAATAATATTTTTTGCAAGAGTCAAGTGAAAAATTTACATTTTAAAACAAAGCCTGATGATTTTGTATGGCTTTTGATATTTTATGTACGGGAGAGGACTACATGTAGTTTTTGGAACTTGTGTTGACATGTTGTCAATAAAATATGTTCAAAACAAAACAATACAGACCAGTACGTGTCGCTTTTCTTTGAGACATGCATTATGGTGATGAAGTAAGGGTATAATAACCAGTTTTAGAAGAAAATTACTCTGATTATAACATCTTGCTTTGCATTTCATTTTTGAAATTATGAATCTCAAAAGAAAAAAGTACAATGTAGATGATTCCATTCCCTATTCACACATAGCTATCAGGGAATCATCCCCGGTCCGAACTCCCTGGCTATAAGTTTAATTTTCATTAACCAAAAAAAAAACTTACTTATGATCCACTTTCTTTTTTCCTTTAGCGTATACGACATCTAATTTAAATTACTTCCCTTTTTGTCGCCAGATGACAAACAGATTTTCATGCTAAATGTATTTTTGTTATATAACATTTGATTATTAAGAAACACACAGGATATTAAGATTGTTGAATTATTAAATAATATTGATTTTAAAAGAAAGAATTTGCAACATCAAGTTAACATGCTTTATTTCATGCATTTAAATTCATGAGGTACATGAAAAAACGGCTTCGTTTTGCAATGTCGTAGGAAAATGCATACAGGTAATACACTCAGGTAAAATCCTGTATGTATAGGAACTATCTATACACAAGCCAGTGTTGTTCTCTCGGGGCTTCTCAGCCGCTTCGATTAAGCTCCATCCCACACCAAACTAACCTGAGGAAAACCGTATGGTTGTAAACCTCGGCCTTTAAATTCCAAATCCCAAGGGACAGGACCCCATTCCCAAAATGAAGTGGAAAATCCCTGCCCATTTAAATGCAGTAAGACTTGTTAATACGGGCACCACTAGTCGATTGAGACAATATCTTAGATTAGACAACATTTTAAACAAATGAATTCAGTGAAATGGACTTCAAGTTAACATGGTATTAGGCAAGTTTTCAGGTTATACAATATTTGGATTAGTCAAGTTTTACTTTAGTTATTAATTTCATTTCAATATTAAATGTTCATAACTTCTGTAATCTACATGTACATCCATAATCAACCCTTATGCTGACCTTTCTGTGACCTTTGAGGCCTCTCCAGTGTCTCCATGGCTACCAGCATCTGTTCATCCAGCTCCGTACAGAAGGAGGAAGAAAACGAGGAATCAATGTCTGATCCTACGTTCTAAAACCAAGACAATCACATGTAAGACATCAATATCTGATTCTACTCTCTAAAACCAACAATAACATTTAAATATAAAGACAAGGCATCAATGTCTGACCATGTGTTCTAAAACCCAGAGAATAACGTTATTATAAAGACAAAGCATCATGTTCTTAAAAAACAACACAATCACAAATAAGAAATCAATATCTGATACAACGTTCTAAAAATTAGAATCAACATAATCACATATGATCAGTAGCATTTTTTGTATGCTGAACACTTACTTTATTGATGTGAGTTGCCATGGCTATAGATTACAATCTGTGATGATCCACGATACTAATCAGCTGTAATCTTGTCATAACTTCTGACTTTTGGTCGCTGTAATCTTGTCATAACCTCTGACATTATTTTGTCATAACCTCTGACCTTTGCTTGCTGTTATCTTGTCATAACAGGCCGTGTCATAACCTCGGAGTCTGACCTATGTTAGCATCTCCATTAGGAATTCTCTTCACCATTACCTCATTCATACATATTCTATCGATAATCCTCTGTCAAAAACAATTCATATGAATATTATTTTTACTTTCTCTCTCTCTCCTCGTCTTGACACAGGCACTTGTTTCGTATACGGGGCACCCCTTCTTATTTTTACCACAAGGTACCAAACTCAATTTCAGGAACCCCCATAATGATTTCAATTTCGTATTTTTTAAAACATATCAATCATTAACCTACTATATTGTTTAAATTGGTATTGTTCGCTTCGAGAGACCTTTTTTCCTGGACAATTATATCGTTTCAGAAGTCTATGGTCGATTCTCTTTATTGTAAACCACTCTTGTGACATGACCCGGCGAGTTTTCCTTTGATGTCAAGCGTACTGTAACTGCGATACAGAACACTTTTTGTGGGCGTTTCTTATGCAAATGAGCAGAAACTGTACTGTATCTGCAAAATATCAACGATACAGTACGGTTTATTTTTAGCGATGACGGAAAGCTGTATCTCTATACAGGAGACATAACAATCGTTCAATTCGCATGATTTATTCAAAATTTGAGGCATAAAATTTTACAACGCAAAGTTATGAATGACGGATTAACAAAAAAAAATAAATAAATAAAAAGAAGAGAGTGTGGCAGTTAATTCACAAATGATTACTTTAATTGACCAAAAAAATGGAAAATCGTATTTCGTGGGGGAGGGGGGGGGGGGTTAGATTAATAATAAACCCAGACTCTATATGCGTGATATCGTTACTTGTTGATAAATTAAAAAGCATATATACGTACACAAGTTTAGCAAATTAATTCACGAAAGCCAAAAAGAAAAAAAGCTCGGAGGGGGGGGGGGGCATACCAAGGCTTACCAGAGAGTGCTGAATCACCCTCTTACTCTGCATTTTATTTAAACATGAAAGTAAAGTACCCCCCTTCCTTTTCATTCATCTGTTTATTTCAATTTTGTATATGACAACCCGTGGAGAACATTGTCAGACATTTCTCTCAGAGTATGATCTCCCCGAAGCATTTTTGATTCAAAAATATTCCCACATGATTCTTATGTATCAAAATGTTTTGCACTAAAAGAATGCTGAACAGAGAAAAAAAACCCTATGCAATCAAATCTAAATTAAATTTTTAGAAAACAAATTATATAATACATCTCATATTTTTCTTAATATTTTAGAATGATAGATACCTGCAGGTCCTGCACGTCTACCCCACTCGGATTTTCAGTTGCGAATGCTTAAAATGAAATACTAAATCAACTTTCTGCAAAATCATCTGATTGGATGAGAGATATGTACCCAAATACGCATGTAAATTAGTGAGATCATTAGAAAGGTCATGTCACAAGTCATTTAGAATACTCGTTTCCTACTGTATCGGAGATACAGGGCGGGGCCCGGCTCGAGCTATCGCTCTCGCCTCCATGAAATTTTACAAATCTGTTATTTAACTTAATGAGACGACGCAATTGCTTCAATATGTCAGATTTTAAAATGTTTCACTGATTATCTTTTAAAATTAGCCATGAGTGATATGACCATGATGGACTGTGCTTTGAGTTACTTTATTATTGTTTATCAAAAAATGAAATAGTTAATTTTATTTGTAAATTAACTCATGTCATATTGTCCTCTGACATATTTTATTTTATCAAATAAACTAAATAGTCATATTGCAGAGTTTATTTGATAAAATGAAATATATTAGGTCTATAAATACATTTTTTTTAAAAAGATTTGAGAGGGATGAAATCGGGCGCGCTTGTCCTTGATATTGTCAGACCCAACGAGAAATAAAGGTATGCAAATCGTAAAGCGGCTTTATCGTCTCTAGCAATTGTTCACCCCAACGTGTGGCTTTGCAATAAGCACACGCACCTAAGTGATGTGATATAAGTGATTAACGTTACATCTGTTGCAGAAAAATGCATGACATTAATATCCCAGTGCTTCAACGCAAAAAATATCTAACTCATTATAGAAATGATGATATTTTTGAGATCCAACCAAAATAAGACAAAATTACTTTTTTCCTGGTAGGTAACATAGAGCGCAATTTTACTTGGACCCCCCCCCCCCCCCCCTGTTTTGATAAAATTCAAATTGAAATTGAAATTTGCAAAAAGGTCATGCGCATGTAAAACCGTGCAAATTAGAGCTATATATAAAGTAAATTAAAATATTCATTTTAAGGGGCCATTTGAGACACTTATCATACATGTACCTTTTACTTGTTTTGCTCAAAAGATGCCCAAGAGCAGAAAAGATTTTCAAAGAAATTATTTATGCATTTGCGCATTAGATTCAACACCCCAGAGACCTAACCAAGGGGCCATGGAATTCCCAAAATTGAACAGGTACCCATGCTTATCATAGCTATGCAGTTCGTTAATCTATAACTTTTTTAAATAACGACAGAATCAACAAAGTTTTACACATTTTCAGCTATACATGTATAATCAATGGAGCCCAACCCTAAGACCCAGAGTCCTGGCACTTAATATCACAAATTCTAATATGAGGAACATTAGGTGAGAATGGCTTACTTGAGTGATTTTAGTAGTAATTATGGCCATTTCTGTACTTCATCGACAGACTCTTTTCCTTTGCATTCCCATTTAAAGCCTCATCATTCATAATACTCACTGTAGCCTCACAGGGATCATGATATAAACTAATCTAATTTAAAAAAAAGATCTTTGATCCGCTCCAGTTTGATCGCTACACAAAGTTTGTGTAGCGCGAATCAAAGAATCTTGAACGTACACTATTTAAGGATGCTTCCATGAAGAACAAAACTTCTTTGTTCTTAGAAAGAGATAGTTAAAAAAAATTTGCTATGTATAATCCTATATATGGAGAACTTTCCCACTGTGGCTCTACTATTCCCGGAGTTAATAATTTAAGAAACTTATGCACTACCTGATTCCTTGTGATTATTTTATCTTATGCTTATACGGAATTTTTTTTAATTGAATCTGAATCTCGTGTTGAGTAAGTGAATCCTTTTCAACTTGTAAGATGATGTTTGTATTCTTATTTTTTCCCATAGTTAATTCCTTAGTGAATGGCGAGGACGTCATTTTTGTAACAAGGGGAATATGTTATAATAGTCATTAGTTTTATTTTGTTTTATTTACTATAATATTCAAATAATTAATACATGTATATTAATTACATTGTATACAGTATGAATATGCCAAAACTTATTTTACAATCTAATGCGCATTTATTAAATCTGTGTGTCAATCAATATTGACCAAAACATATACTTTAAACTCAGATATTGATACTTTTCAATTAAATAATTTAGTAAATGAAATACTTTTAAAAATTAAATAAAACAAACTAAATGAAATACTGTAGATTGGCAAATAATCACGATGGTTTTTATGATTAGAAATGGAAATATTAATATTTCCATTTCTAATTTTTTTCTCTGTGATAACTCTTTGATAATTGTCGGAGTTTATTTCTTGATAATTCTGCCGGAATGTAAATTAGGCGGTCGATAGGTCAGGAGGTAAGGAGGCCTAATACGCATGCAAATCTTATGCGCATCTGTCTCTGTGTCTGACGCTAAGGAGGTCAAATATGCATGTAAATCTCGTGCGGCTGCCTTTGTGTTTGACGTCGGTGGGCGAAGACATTTAAAATTGGCATGGAAGTCCTCGTGTAATTTAAGTCTATGTCTACATTTTTAAAGTCTTAATCTATAATTTTATTTCACAATGAAATGGAAATATAAGGTCCGCGAATCACCGTCTAGTTTTGAGAGTATACCAAGGACATCAACAATAGTGGGAAACATGGAATAATTTAGCATAACGGAATTTGCCCGTTATGCAAATTATCCCATGTTTCCTACTATTATTGATGCCTTGGCATACTCTCAAAACTAGACAGTGATTCCTTAAATCAAATCGCCGATAAAAAAAAAAACAATTTAACATCAATTCTCTGCAAGGACCAAAATCTTACTGTAGGGCTGTGGCACACACCATGAGCAATTTTGATGAAACTTTTTCAGGTGATTACTGCCCATACAGTATGACATAATCAACATTCAAAATTAAGGTTACTACCTTGGTTGCCATGGTAACGGACAAAAATAGATTTTGGCCCCATTTACGCCCATTTCACACATAAAAATGCTGTATAATTCATTTCATGTGGTATAATCACCTTTATTATTCTAAGATAAATAAAACATTATATATGCAGAACATATGGAGCAATATATTACACAAATAAAAAAAAAATCTAAATGTCACTGCAAATTCTTCAATTGGTGGCTCAAAGATGACCAAATTCTAACATTTCGAAAATGGCCATATTTACCCTATGTTTCAAGAGGCCTCCCAAAGAATGCAGGCACTATGAGAAAAAATCAACTTAAATTTTAAAAACACTATAATAATGTTATTCAACCTTTATAAAAATTAGAGTGGGTATTTTATTCGTTTAAGATATTTTTAACTTTGAAAATTGGCATTTTGCCAAATAATTTGTTTGTTTTTTTTTTTTTTTCAAAATTTACCAGGCACTAGTTGTTTAATAAAAATTCTTTTCTAAACAGTTTTTTTCTTATAAATATGAGAAATCAAATGAATAGTAAATGCTCTCAATTTTTAAAAGCTATTAAATAAAATTATTCAAAATTAATTGTTAGTATTATTGTTTCTCTATGATCCTTTAAAAAGGGCAGATAACAATATCTAGCAAAAAGGAGCTCTTTAATAGCTATTTTCTATAAAAAATTAGACTTCTTTTTCATGTACTGATTCT